CCAGATCCGCCTCAGGTAGCATCGATGCCGCCATTGATGAATGAATTGAAATCAAATTGCCGTTTTTGGATTCTGTTTGTTATTGATTTGGGGGCGACCCCAGAAGAACGAAAGGATGAAGAAGGAAGTCAACAGAAACGGTAACAGCGTATTGTCAGAGAGAGAGAGAGAGAGAGAGGAGGAGGAGGAGGAGGGGGTAGGGAGTGAATTTAGCAAATGGATCAAAATTTCCACTTTCCTAAAATCAATTATTTTCAAAATACAATTTTTTCATTATTTTTTTTACTCCAAATTTTTTAATAAAATAATATTACACGTAAACTCAAAAAAATTTCTTATTTTCCAACCATACATTCTCCATCAACTTATTAATTCAAAAGACATTCTTTAAAATAAATGGGGTTCAAATCTCTCTAAATTTTATAAGAAAATAATATGGAATAATTCTTGTAATTTCCTACAAGATACATTTACTATAAGTCAATAGCTTGATAAATTAAAGGTGAGATCATTGAAAAAGTATTCTTGGAATCTTAAACCTTTGTAAAATGATATTTTTTGCAACTAATATAATTTTTTTGCTCTAAAAGAGTATTTATGTATCGATGGTATAATTTATTAATCGATAACATTTATATTTAGCCCATATTTGGGCTCCATTTTTCATAATATATATTATTATAAAACTCATTTTCAACCACACATTTTGTCAAAAACGTCCTTATATGAGCCCCATTATTTGGTTAAAAATGCATTTTGGAATAATAGATTGATGAAGAATGTGTAGTTAAAAAATAAGGAAAAGTTTTGAGTTTGCGTGTAATATTATTTTATTGAAAATGTGTAGTTAAAAAGAAAAAGAAAAAAAAATGTATTTTGAAAATAACGAGAATCAAACAAGGGCAAAATAATGTTACAAGTAAATCTAATTTTTTTTTAACCACATATTCTCCAAAAAATCACAATTTCAAGACACATTTTTTTCCGAAAACTCATTTTAATGGAGACCAAGAATAAGCTTGACAGCCATTTTGGTAAAAAATAAGTTTTGAATAGTGATTTTTAGAAGAATGTGTGGTTAAAAGTAGGGAAAAATTTTTGGTATACGTGTAAAATATTTTATTGTATGAATATGTAGATGAATATGATTCTATAACAAACCATAAAATAAACTAAAGAGTGTCAAACGGACACTGACTTTGATATAGGACAATGTGGATAGTATTTCTAGTATTAGTAAGCCCATATTTGACAACTATTATGTATGAAAAATAAAGTTTTGAATAATTATTTTTAGGAGAACGTGTAGTTAAACAATATGAAATAAATTTGAATTTATGTACGAAATATTTTATTGTGTGGTTGAAAATGAGGTTGTAGAAAAAAGAGTTTTAAAATAATTGTTGTCAAACATGTGCTAAGATTAAATCTGGAGGAGTGTGATGGAAGTGGTGGAGGAAGAGAACGACGAAGAAGGGCATTTGTTTGGAGAGTGTGATTGAGGTGACAGTGAAGGAAAGCAGCAAAGAGGGGCATCTGCTTTTGCGATTTATGTAGAGGAGGTAGTAAGATGTGGATATGAGGTGATGGCATTTTGAGTGGTGTCAACGGTGGTGAAGTGGGATGAGTGATGTGGACCAATTATTATGTAACTGTAACTAATTAATTTGATAATTTGTAATCGATAAAAAAAGTTGTGACCAACATTTTCTGTAAATAACTTGTGGTCTATAAATGTGTGATATATGACTAAATTTGCAATTGTGACCAACATTTTCTGTTTTTGTGACTACGTCAGTTATGTGATTTGTGATAAATACATAATTTTGATCATAAATTAATATAATCTACTTTTGAATGAATTTCACAAGTTTGTTGAGTTTGAAAGCGTATATTTATAAGTTCATAGTTACATATTTGTTCCTTGTATTAATGACACTACATTAAAATAACTAAATTGAATAGTATGCTTTTGAAGTAACCAAACCATTTAACACCGTAATTAATACATCCTAAAAGCCCAAATGTTATAAATCACCCACTCAACCGCACTTGCTCTCCTCCTCTAACCCCTTTCTTCCCGATTTTATTGATGCATTTTCTTGCAAAAATCAAGAAAATATTGAAAATTTACAAACATGGCAACAGTCGTGGCTACAACAAGGCCAATGTCGGTAAAATCCCAATTTTCAATGAGAGTTCAAGAATGAATTTAGAGCTATAGTTCATTACATCCCAATTGAATGGCATCAAAATTTCAGCAACCCATGTTGAGAATGCAGATTTTACCTCTCTGGTATTTTAAGGTCTGAATATCGTCGTTGTCATTCACAAAGGCTTTCAGCCGTTCAATGGCTGGAGAGATTTGTTTTCGAATCCAAAGCTTCCGATCTTCATAACTAGAGAGGAACTTTGTTTCCAAAATCGAAAAAAATATTGCAGCTCAATTTGTCTCTGTTTATTACTGGACTCTTACATTTTTGCTATGAGACTGTTATTGTTAATACATATTCAAACTATCATCAATTTATGTATTCAAATCTCCCTGTGTTTTTGGATTGCATATACAATAAAGTGAATTTTTTTATTTTGGGTTTTTGTTGATATAAGTAAGTTAAAACTTACTGAATAATCTAAGAAGAAAATTGTATGAATTATATTCATTCTGCCAGAGAAAGGTACTACAGTTTACATTTTCTCGTGCTCATTTGATTGTATGTTGTTTGGGGAATGGACGATAGAAAGTTTGCAGTGGCATTAAGACAATATTCTTTTGTGTTTAGTTCTTGAATTTTCCATCCTTTTATAGGATTTTATTCTTGTTTAGGTACCATGTTCGACATTTTCATTTCCATCTTAATTAAATCATAAATCATAATATTGGCATGAAAAAGAAGATGCGAGTTAAAAGGTTGTTCTTTTGCTTTACTTCAAAATGGCTGGTTTCTTGCTTGCAGATATAATAATTTTGAAAAAAAAAAATTACTAATAGCCGGTCAAAGTGACAGGTTCTAGGAATTTAGGATGTGGGGTTGAAATTTATTAAACCAACAACATCCAAAAACAATCCACAAAATTGTCAACAAGCAACAACAACAATTCATTAATTTGTTGATTTTTTTCTTGTAAAAACATGTTCAATTGGAACTTTTTGGCCGTTAACTTGACCATTTTATCAAGTGGGTAGATCGTGTATTACTTTTTAATTTAAAAAAATGACATTTTTTTGAGTGTTCTGTTACTTTTTGAATGTTTGTCACTTTTAAATTTTTTTTTGTCACTTTTTGAGTGTTTGCCACTTTTTTGAATTTTTGTCAATTGTTTGTCATTTTTTTGAATTTATGACACTTATTTGATTGTTTGCCATTTTTTATGAATTTCTATCATTTTTTCGAGGGATTGTCACCTTTTTTATTTTTTTGAATGACAAATATCACTTAGTGACACTCAACTTTAGTATTTAATAGGCAAATTGTATTCAATTGGAACTATTTTTGTTTGGTTAACTTGACAATTTTTCGAAGTGGGTAGACTGTATCACGTTTTAATATGACATTGTCACTTTTTTGAAATTCTTGTTACTTTTTCGAGTGTTTCACCTTTTTTTTTTTTTCAATTTCTATCATTTTTTAGTGTGTCATTTTTTATAATTTTTATTATTTTAAAGTGTAATTTGTTATTTTTTTTATTTTCTGTCACTTTTTTATTGATACTTATTTTTTTTTTTATTTCTCTCATATTTTTGAGTGATAAACATTAATTTTTAATAATAGTAACATTGTATGAAGTGACAGTTAGGAATTGTTTGAACCCCATTTTTAGTATAGCATGCATTTGTAATTGTTGATTGATAAAAATGTATGGTTAAAAATGAAGAAAATGTTTTTGGATTGTGTGTAATATTATTTTATTGAAAAATGTGTAGTTGAAAAAAAAGAGAGAAATGTATTTTAAAAAAATGGGAATCAAACAATGGCTTAATTTTAAAAAGTGACATTTTATATCATTTTTTAATAAAAATGTGACACTTAGCTTTACAAAATATTTTTTACTTCCAAAATACTTTTTTATATAATTTTTCAAAATACCTTTAATTTTAGGGAAATTACAAAAAATCAGGTGTTTAAAGATTGATTTTCAAAAATCAGGTGAAAGTTTAATTATTCAAAAATCAGGTAATAATTTTATATTTTAATAAATATATTAATATTAAAACCCTAACTTATTTTCTTCCCTCTCTTTTTCTATCGTCTCTTTCTCTCTACTGCGCCCTTTCTCTCCTCAGCCTCAACTCTCTCTACCTTCTCCACCCCTAACCCTAACTATTTCGACGTCGCACCCACCCCCTCATCCGGCACCGGAAGCACCTCATTTCTCTGCGCGATGAAGCCGCTGTAGAAGCGGCGCTGTGCGTGCGAACGACGACGATAAGGCTGCTGCAAACTCGCAGCAACGTTGCCCGAAGGTGCACCCGCCGTCGCAGAAAAAATTGCCATTTATCACCATCGTAGTGTAGCCGCTCGTAGGACCGGCGCTTGCAGCGGAGTGTCGCTTGCACAGGACCATCGTTGTGGCTCCATCAGACCCTCGCCTATTCTGTGGCTTCTTCAGATTCGTCATATCTAAAACCCAAACCAGAAAACATGAACCCACAGTGGTGGATGAA